CTTGGGGGGGAGGGGAGGAGTCTAAAAATCGGAAAAATTGCCTTAGGTGATTAATGGACGGCCCCAAAGGGTAATTTTGACAATTCTTATTAGTATTTTTAGTATTCCTTATGGTCGTTTTACTCCAAATTCTATATCCTATAAATAAAAGAAGAGCAATTGTGCAGATTTTCTTTTTACATAAAAGGGATCTTTCAGTTTAAAAGATTCCGTCTTGACCCGCAGGATATTTTGTTAGCCCTGCCTGTCCCTACCTGAAGGCGAGGGCTGACAGAAAATCCATCTCCAGGTGCGGAGTGCCAAGAGTCTGCAGAAGGGGAACATCGATGCTCCTGACTGCGCACCAGACATTTTCCGATAGAAATTTGGCAGGATTTTTCGTCAGTCTTACCATTGCCCTGCCTTCGGAGCTCAGGACAGAATCTCTGCTAAACACTTGACTCTAATTATTGAGCTAACGTACATGTATGTTATCACTGTGGCAGATGTAAACAATTGCCCATTGACTAGATACGGTCTTCCTTAAAAATAGGGTTTATACCATCGGTTCTTTTTTATCTAATGAAGGTTTTAAGCATTTGAACATCAAAGGAGTCTATTTCTGAATTCCATTTAGTTCAAAAAATCATCAATTGACTCGTTATTTACATTTGAAAAGCGGCTGCCAATTTCTTGTAAGAAAAGACCAAGTTTGTCATGCGATGTGACGTAACGAGGGTACGGGATCCGTTGCCGCGTTAAAGTGACCGTTTTAAAAATTCGAATTTTGAGGCGTTTTTTAGTTGATTTTATGGGGGTTTCAGGTGATAAAAAACTCTGGGAAAATTCCTGTGACATTAGGAGCCTTAGTTCTTTCCATCATAGCAATAAAAAAAAAAATGGTGCAACAGGCCCATTACACCAAGCTTGAAATACCTAAGCGCAAGTTCCATTCTCTTATCAAAGGAAATGCAGACACAGAAGACCAGGAAAGTCTCAGTGAGAGTAACTATGAGCTGTATAAAAATACTTATTCGAATAAATACTTAATACTAAATAAATACTTTAATTAAATAAATAAAGCAGATTGGAACCTTCTATCATCATAGTCCTCGATGGCTACCAGATCCACTGAGCGTTCCCTATTGTTAGCTTCGGAGTTTCGATTGGAGCTGCTCCTCAAAACTCTTCTTGACGGCTCTGGATCCATCCTAGTTGATAATATACCCATGAAAAAAACCTTTAGGCACAGTTAAAAAAACCTCCATCGTCAGACAAAGACCGAAGACATGGGCCTGCACAGATCGAGAAGAGATAGCATAAGTAATCACACAATTGAAACTGTTGGAAGAAGTAAACGGGGGCAGCTAGAACTTGATTTTGCACGAAAAGTTCACGCGAACACTAAAAAATGTCTGAAATAAGAGGCTGATGAGTAGAATTCGGATATCGTACATGAGAAATTGATAGTCCCTGTAGTCCCAGTCCCATGCAACTGTATGGTTATCATAGTACCAAAGACATAAAGACGGAGCGCTCGTATCTAATAGCACGGGGAAAAAGTGAAGCTAGGTTCGGCGCTGCGCGCTTGTGTGAGTGTGTAAATGAGCGCGGGAATCCATGGCGGCAAACGGAAATTTGATTTGAACTTGTCCTCTTGATTTTTCCTTATTTCTTCTTCGAAACGTGTTTTAAATGCTTAAAACGATTATATTAAGAAAGTTCGGTCTGCGTCCTAATATGTTACACCTACTTTTGCTCGGTAACAGGCAGTAATCTCAGATAAAGTTAGTTTTTCTTCTGCTTATGGTGGTTCTGCAGGTTCAAACAGGCCGTTACAGTTCTAGATCTACGTTACTCCCAAATGAAATCAGTCGGTCGACGACGGACCGAAACTAACCTAAAGTTAATAAAATATGAGTGTGTACCTGAATTTGGGCAAAAATCAACCTAAAATACTTTGTTTCCGCAATTTTATTTATTAGTTCCCGCCCTACATTTGAATTCAAACTTGTCCCGATTTCGCCGCCAATCCTCTAGCCAATAGTAGAGGTGATTGAAAAGAAGCTCTAGAAGCTTCATTTTTTGCTTTTAGTGCTCCGTCTTTATGTCTTTGCATAGTACACATAGAATAGAAAGAATAATGGAATAATGCAATAATGAATTGCATTGACGTATAATACAATCTAGACCGCGCATTAGAAAATTTCGGCAAGACTAGAGACCCTTCAGGCGAGACGATAAGCAACCTAGCAACACTCAGTAAGTGTACCGAACCGACCGAGACAATGGAAATGCCAGTTGTTGCCTGAAACGGGTACACTTAGCTCGTATATCCGGCGGTATCAACTAGGCTGAAGGCGCGTCTTTACCCTCCTAGCTGTCTTACCTTCCCCGCACTTTCGATCGATACTTAACTATACTCGGCATCGATACTCCACGATATCGATACCATGCAGTATCGATGCCAAGACCCCAGTATCGACGGTATCGATACTTAATCTGATTTGGCCATGAAGAAGGCCTCTTTTTCTTTTTTAAAAAATTCTCTCCCCACTATTTCACCTTCATGATGCACTGTGACAAACGACGGAGTAATCAAGTTTCTCAAGATGATTATACTTCAATAAAAATGGTAAAAGCTCAGTTCGATAACTGTAGATAAGGGCTCAAAATAGTTGACTAAGGACGCCAACAGGGCTTTTTCGAGAGAGGCGTAAATCTGGCGGAATTTAACGGCCGACAGACACATGCACACTCAGAATCACGGCATAATTCAGAAATAGTATCGATGGTATCGATACCTCATAAGTATCGATACTTCAGCTCGATGATCGATACCGGTATCGATGCTTAGAGTGGATACCAGTATCGATACCGAGTATCGATACTTCCCTGAGTATCGACATCCCTACATCTTACCCTGAGAGTCCACGTCAACATCAAGACAAACTCTTAGGGATGTCGATACTCAGGGAAGTATCGATACTCGGTATCGATACTGGTATCGACTCTAAGCATCGATACCGGTATCGA